CTGCTGAGGGACCTCCAAGGAGAGACATCTCTCCTGTGGTGTTCAGGTACCCACATTTCCTTCTGTTGAGGAAATTTCCTTGTTTCTCCTGTCTCCAAGAGCGGAGACACCATGTCTCATCCTAATGTGCAACCAGGATCCAGTCTGGCTAAGCACTTGTCCCAGGGGTTTGACAACATAGATATAGACCAGCTAATACAGGAGTCAGTGAGGACAGTAATGCTTGACTAAGCCCTTTTTGTCCTTCAAGGTCCCCTGGTGCAGGTACAGTGGGGTCAACAACATGCTCCCCAAACTGTTGTTCATCGATACACAAGTATTATTCTCTGTTGCTCAGAGGATACTCTCCTTCTCTGTTTTTTTATTGGAAAAGATGATGCACAAGCTTAATTTTTAAAAGCTTTCCTGAAAAAGTACCTTGTCAATTTTTTCCTGTTTCTATATGCATTCTGGTTATAGTAATGAAAAGCGAATGCAGTAATTCCTGATGGAAGGAGTTACATAGCGTAGTTTCGACAGATTGTTTTGTTGTCCCACATTATTTACTCAGCTATTAAAGTTCCGATAATTGCTACCTTATACATATTTTGAGGTGGTAAGGAAAACAAGCTTTTGGTTTTCCTTTGTTCTCATTGCTTCTCCATTTAGATGGCTTTATTTGACTACATAAAAATTGCATTAAAAATTAGTCAGATAGGCTTTGGGGCTTTCCTTCTATCATACAGTTTTACTATGAATAAATCAATAGATTAAGGCAACTGTTCTGTATTTCTGGTTGCTTCCACGGTTAAGTGTGCTTTATGGTTGACTTGAAAGATACTTTAATTTGATCTTTTAAGACTCTGTAGGCTATTTTCTGTAGAATCAGTCTGTGAAGAAAGGGTTAATATTTCTATGTGCATTTACATCCAGGGCTTTGCTCTGTTGAAAAGCCTAGTGGATAGATGTAAAGTTCATGAAAGAATCATGACAAGACATCATACATAAAGCAGACATAATGCTGCAGAAGCACAGCATCTCTTAAAGAATAGCTATGGCCTAGACTTGAAAATCATTACATGACTTTTTAGCCTCACTGCCTTTATCCCCTTGATGAAAGTAAAATGTAATGCGCTTTCTCTAATGGGCACTTGTCTATCTGTAGTGCTCCTGAAATGTGCCTGTAACTACTCAATGAAATGGTTATTGACAAATCAGGTTAGATCAGCATAAATAGTAATGCTGTCACCACTGTATGCCCATCATAACATCTTAAGGTTTGAAAGCTCTCTCCAGGTGTAAGCATTTATAGCCCATATTATTTCCTAGAATCATCACAGAATCACAGAATGGTTGAGGTTGGCAGAGACCTCTGAAAGTCCTCTGGTCAATCTTTCCTGCTCAAGCAGGGCCACCTAGAGCAGGTTGTCCAGGACTATGTCCAGGTCTTGAATATCTCCCAGGGTGGAGACTCCACAACCTCTCTGGGCAACCTGTGCCAGTCACCCCCACAGTAAGAAAGTGTTTCCTGATGTTCAGAAAGGATGTCCTCTGGTTTGGTTTGTGCCCATTGCCTCTGGTCCTGTCACTGGGCACCACTGGAAAGAGACTGGCTCGGTCTTCTTTATACCCTCCCTTCAGATGCTTGTACACATTGATGAGATCTCCCCTAAGCTTTCTCCTCAGGAGGCTGAGCAGTTCCAGCTCTCTCTGTCTTTCCGCATAGGAGAGGTGCTCCAGTTCCTTAATTATCATAGTGGCCGTTCACTGGACTCTTTCCAGTAGCTCCATGTCTTGTAGTTGAAGCCCAGAACTGGATTCAGCACTTGAGAGGTACCTCACGAGTGCTGAGTAGAGGGTAAGGATCACCTCCCTCAACTTGCTGGCAACACTTTGCCTAACACAGCCCTGGATACCATTTGCCTTCCTTGTGGAAGGGCACATTGCTGGTTCACATGCAATTTGGTGTCCACCAGGTTCTTTACTTCAAGCTGCTTCCCAGCCAGTCAGCCTCCAGCCTGCACTTGTACAGGGGATTGTTCCTCCCCAGGTGCAGGGCTTTGCATTTGCCTTGGTTGAACTTGGTGAGATTCCTGTCAGGCCATTTCTCCAGGGGTCCCTCTGGATGGCACAGCCCTCAGGTGTATCAGCCACTCCTCCCACCCACTCCCCAGTTCTGAAGAGATGTGAGAGAAGGCTTCGGTTCTCTTTGTGATATATGTTGTTACAGGCAAGAGGATATCTAGGTTGTGGAATTCCTTTGTCAATGTGCAAAGAAGTTTTGCTAATCAGCTGAGTTGCTTAAAGGAAAGAGACTATTTTCCTCTCAAGATACCTGCCAAAGGACGGTACGTTTTCAGCCTGTAATCACTTCTAATCAATTCTGTGTATTGCTTTTATTTTGTTATCTCTTAGGATGCAGGAAGTCAACAAATAGGCTTTTTGCTGGGAAGCTGTGGAGTTACTGTGGCCTTGACGAGTGACGCATGCCATAAAGGACTGCCTAAAAGCCCCACAGGGGAGATACCACAGTTTAAAGGTAAGCTAACCCTTGCTTATCGTGGATATCACAAGTCATTTACTACAGTACAGTCACTGCACTGGTTTAGTTGTAGCGGGTGAGGATCAGGCCCGTGATGAAACACTTGCCACGGGAGCAGCCATGGCTGCTGGGACGCGATTGCCCCAGCGGTGTGTCACTGGCTGGTGGAGATCGCTGCTCCTGCCTCATGGCTGCCGAGCAGTACAAGTCCTCCTGATCCTGATCAGGCTTAGGAGTGTAGCAAATGAGAAGCATTTGTACAATTCAGTCCTACCAGCTAAGTGGTAGGGACCTCTGACAGGAGAGGGGTAGTAAACTATTTGGGTCAATAACAACTTAAACGGCCCAGCCATTTCTTCAGGGATTGTCTGAGAAGGCCTTGGTGCTTGATAGCCATGTTAAGGAAGCAGTTCTGGAAAATCTTCTTTCCCATGCTACACTGAGGTTTAAAAGAAGAAATGTTTAGCTAATGGTGACACAAGCATTCAGGAAAAAACTCTGGCAAAGAAGAATTTTGTCTTGTCTTATCCAGCAGAAGCTCAACAAAAGCTTATTTTTCTTTGTACTTCAGGCTGGCCAAAGCTACTGTGGTTTGTCACAGAGTCTAAACACCTCTCCAAGCCGCCTCGTGACTGGTTCCCACACATCAAGGATGCAAACAACGACACAGCTTACATTGAGGTGAGTTAATGAAGATGCATCTTCTCCTCGAATCATTGCATATGGCACTTTTGGATTAGGTAAACATCATTATTCATTCGCTAGTCACAGAAGCAAAGAACATCCTGGTTTAGCTTGTTAATAAGTAATATTTTCTAATAAATTATACTGGGTATTGATTTCAGAAAAGGTAATGAAATGTTAAATTGCATTTTGGGGGTTTCTAACGTTAATATTTTTATGTCATCTGTGTAGCTGCCACAAAATTATATTAAGCTTGCCTTGACCAATCTCGGTCTCATTCACAGTGTGGGCTTGCCCACTAGCCTTGCGACGGACAGACAGCAAGTTTCAAGTGAAGCTTCGGTTGTCATATCACAACCTGCAGACCCTTTGAAAAAGAGGGAACGTCTAGTTCAAATACTTGCCTGTCACTTACTGCTTTGTGAGTCACACTCCCCGCAAAAGACCACCATCAGGAAGGGAAAATTAGTGATGCTGTTAAGTTTAATTTTTCTCTTTTATTTTTTTTCCATTCTTTTTTCCTGTTTCTGCATAGGCTCAAATGCCTTGAATTCAGTGATGTTACTATTGAATTTAAATGATTATTCAAAGGAAATAAGTTCAAGTGAAAGGAGCAAAGGTATTTCTTATCTTTGTGCAGTCAGAACATCGTGCTAGAGAAGCAGAGATGCCTCCTTTTTCAATCTTGCTGATTATCTTCCTCATGGAGAAAGATAAATGTTTAATTTACTTCAGTTGCCACTGGTAGTTTTCAGACTCTTGCATAAAATTCCTGCAATTATCAGCAATGATTTCCCACCTCTTTTTTTGCTGCTTTCTCCTGACTCTTTCATATTCTTCTGATCAAAGAACTTGTGTCTTTCAGACTGTATATGTATACATTATTATGACAGCACTCAGCAAGGATTCTGCGGTCAGCTCTTGTCCCATGCCTTACAAGACACAGAAGGGAGAAGCTCAGGTTTATTGGTTGGCCTCTAAAATCTAACGTGTGAACACCGAGCAGACTGAACTAGGTTATTCTCTGCTAAATCTAGCCAGTCCTTTAGTCATTAAGATGATCAGAATTGTTAGAACTATTTTTCCATAATGCATTTCCGTTCAAACAGCAGATGGATTTCTGGTATCAAGCCTGGGAAGCTTCAGTCAAAAAGAGAAAGCCTATCTGAAAAAAATGTCTTATAACAAAAAAATGCCTTCCAAACTCCTCAATACTGCTGACTTCTTAAAATAGAGTCATTAGATGTGTCCATCATTCACCTGCATAGGAAACACTTTAAACATAGCTATTAAATAATGGAGGTAGGGCAACTATTGCACATTGACTTTCCCTGCTTATTTCTTTTTAGTACAAAACATGTAAAGATGGAAGTGTGCTTGGGGTGACTGTGACAAGGATTGCACTGCTGACACACTGCCAAGCTCTGACCCAGGCATGTGGATACACAGAAGGTAAGGAGTACACTTCCCTTGCTTCATCCTCAAAACTAAGTGTGAATTGTAATTTGTTTCTCACCAGGCTCCTGTCTTATGTTTTACATATATCTGTGTCAAAGGCTTCTAGATTTAAAAACCTGATTTTTTTTTTTCATTGGTTTTAGTAAATATGCACACATTTAAAATATCTTTGTGAGAGGTAAAAATAATATCCTAGCCAATACAAATCCTGCAGTGGAGACTTATTATGAAAGTTAAGCTTTGAGGTCATCAGTCATGTTATACTGAAGCTTCCTTCCTTTGAGTGGGTTTGCCTTGGGTCAATGCCATGTTCTGAAAAATAAACTCTGTTTTGTTTTTGTTGGACAGCTGAAACAATTGTGAATGTATTAGATTTCAAGAAGGATGTTGGTTTATGGCATGGGATTCTTACAGTAAGTATGTTTTTCTATTTTGTGCGAGTATATGAAAATAAACTAACCTAATGTGCTTATTACTATCACAAACTGGGATCTCCTACAGCTTCTTCTAATACCATTTTTTCTGCTTTGAAAACAAAAAATATGTGATTTAAACCCATGATCTTCTGCTAGTGCCCTTACCCATAATGAGCACAGTAAAGATGCCAGTATATTTTTATGCATCGTGTCAAGTACTCTGGCCCTATTCCTACCATGTTATTCTGATCTTTCTGGTGCATGATTTTGAGATCAAACTTTAAAGTGGAAACACATTAAATTAGTACTTGCGTCTGTAAGGATATATCCAATGGCATAGCCATATTGCCACTGACTAGCTTCTGTATTAAAACTCCCACCAACAGATGGTTTTGATAACATTAAAGTATTTCTCATACTTCAAATTGCATAAATTGATGACACCAAACTGAGTGGGAAGTGGACACTTTGGAAGGGAGGGCCACCCTGCAGGAAGACCTGGATAGGCTGGAAGAGTGGGCTAACAAGAACCTTATGAAGTTCAACAGGGACAAGGTTAAGGTCTTGCACCTGGGAAAACATAATCCAGGAGTGCAGCACAGCCTGGGATCTACCTGACTGGGGAGCTGCTCTGTGGAAAGGGACCTGGGGGTCCCGGTGGACAGCAAACTCGGTATGGGTGAACAGTGTGCTGCTGTGGCAAAGCAAGGCAACAGGATACTGGGTTGCATCAACAAGGGCATCACCAGAAGAGATAAAGAAGTCATTATCCCACTCTAGGCAGCGCTTGTCAGGCCATACCTGGAATATTGTTTTCAGGTTTGGTCCCTGCTATAAAAAAAGATGTGAACAGGCTGGAGAGGGTCCAGAGGTGGGCCACCACGATGATGAAAGGACTGGGAAGCTTGCCATAGGAGGAAAGGCTGAGAGAACTGGATTTGTTCAGCACTGAGAAAAGAAGGCTGAGGGGAGACCTTATCACCATGTTCCAGTATTTAAAGGGTGGCTACAAAGAAGATGGAGACTCCCTTTTTACAAGAAGTCACATGGAAAAGACATGGGGTGATGGGTACAACTTACTCCTGGGAAGATTCTGTTTGGACACAAGAGGAAAATTTTTCCCAATGAAGACAATCAGCCATTGGAGTAATCTCCAATTAGTGGAGAAGTGGTGGATTCCCCATCATTGGACACTTTTAAGATTCAGCTGGACAGGGTGCTGGGCCATCTAGTCTAGACCGTGCTTTTGCCAAGAAAGGTTGGACCACATTATCCTTGACGTCCCTTCCAGCCTGGTATTCTATGATTCTGTGATTCTGTGAAATTGTCTACTTGCTGTTTGAATGTCTTCCTTGACTGACATGGGAAGCAATTGTGTATTTTTAAGGATTGTTTCCAAAGGTGCTGCTGCAGTCAATGAGTGACAAAATACTTACTATTCACTGATCATTTTAAGAACAGGTTTTGAAGGGGATCCCAGGATGTACAGGCCCTACATGCTGTGATTCCCAGAGATCCAATATACTTTTCCCATGCAGTGTTATACTGTTCCTGATATAAAAGGGCAGTAATAACACTTATGAAGCAGAAATGGTCTATTAGGCTTAATGCCCATAAGTATGTCATGTTAAAAAAACCATATCACTGAAGTTGAAAGCAAACATCTAATAGAGCTTTTCTATGCCTTCCTTTGCTAATTATCTTGGTATGAACTTCATTTTTTTCATGACTTCCCTGTCAGTGCTTTTCCTATACCTACATTTGTGCCAGACTGAAAGGAGAATTATCTTTTGCAATTCTGCAAGTGTTTTAGATGACTAATCCGCTGGGACACTTAGCCTGTGTCAGGAGCAACTTTCTTAAGCCTAGGTTTTCCAAAACAAATACTGTATTTAACCTGAGGTGCTATGAGTGAAGACGTGTTGCCCTCAGAAGATGTTTCTAAATCGTAACAGAAGTAAAGCAGCAGCTCATTTACAGGCTGTTTGTTTAGGAGTAACACCTGAGAAATCACTAAAGCAATTGACTGCCTCAGACTGGGAGATTGGTTCTGGATCTGTCATTGGCTTCACCCAGCTGCTTTTTCTAAACTTCCTGCAACTTTTCATTACCTTGTTGAAAATACTGGAATTAATCACCTGAAGAAGTACTAAAAAACTCCATTTATTTTCTTTTAAAATAAATTGCTCTTTGCTTAATCTGTGACTCCAATTTCTCTGTCTACTGTCTTTTCAATAATTTGTGCCCCACTACCATTAGTAGTTTTTCGGTCTTGACAAAGATGGATTTCTTTAGACAGATAAGTTGCTGTTGCTTGTTCTTATCAGTAAACAGTCTTCATATATACTGAAGTTTAGCAGGCTTAGGGATAATATTAACCTATGTAGTAAACATGCAGACATTGTTCATACAATGTTTTTTTTTACTTTTTCTATTAAAAGTAAATCGCTTAGAGTATAACTAGGAAGAAAATATATTTCATTTTTTTCAGTACTACTTAAAAGTTATGATCTGATTAGTCTAAAACCTTAATCCTTAATTAAAGCATTAGAAAATGGGGGTCTGTTTCATCTTAATGTAGATAGCTAGATAGGAAAAGATAAAATGCCAGTGTTGACAATAAAACAAGCATAGAGTGATTTGCATAGATGTCCCTGCCCAGAACACAATATAAAAAATTATCACAATTGTTGTATAAAACGCATTTATCTTACTTGATTTCAGAGTGTCATGAACATGATGCATGTTATAAGTATTCCATACTCCTTAATGAAAGTGAATCCACTGTCATGGATACAAAAAGTCTGTCAATACAAAGGTAAGGAACAAGAATACACAAAAGTATGCTTGATAGTCAAAATCAAAAGTACAAATTGATAATACAGCTGTATAATTTTTATATGGGGTATTAGTAATCTTCCCATTCTTATTGCAGCAAAAGTTGCCTGTGTAAAATCCAGAGACATGCACTGGGCGTTGGTGGCACATCGAGATCAGAGAGACATCAACCTTTCCTCACTGCGTATGCTCATAGTGGCTGATGGTGCAAACCCATGTAAGCTATGCTTCTGCAGTCCACTAGAGAATATGAGTTGTTTTCTGTCTTCATTTAGACTTTCAATTGTCAGTCACCTTCGCTAAAATATTTGCGAAGTATTGGGTTTGTCTATTGCAAACTATATGATGTTTATGGAAGCAGTAATTAATTTTGGATTTCTTTCAAATGTATTTTTCTTTAGCTAATCCTGAAGCAAACTTGATATTCCACATAATGTAAGTTGCAGTAAATCCAGTCTTGTTTAACAAGACAGTCATGTATAAAGACTGAAGTAAATCACCTTAAGCTATAGAAAGGGTCAGAACATTTCTTCTGAACAGTGGCACTCAGAGGCAGAAGTACCTGAGAAATTTAGGGGAATACTTATACTACTCTTGAGAACCACATCTGGATCACTTCATGGCAGTTAATAGTATGAACTGTTTTCTCTATATTATTTAAGATACCAATATGTAGGCGTTCTGCTTGTTTGTAGTAGTTTCCCTTGAGTTTCTGAATTAAATCTTTAATTTGCCTCATCCTAAAAAAGAAAAATGTAATTAAATTCATACTGTAAATCTAACAGCATTGGCTTTTCTATGTAAGCACAGTGAAAAGAATTTATGCTCAAAAATTATTCTTTATTCACTGTATGCACACACAACTGTATATACATATATATAGTAGTAGCAGCTATGACTTCCCAGTGAACATGGGTCCTTTTTAAATTTTTTCTCCCAAAACGCCTGTATATTCAATAGTAAGTTTGCAGTTTGAATAGCATCACTTTAGAAATCAGTTTATTTTTCTCCTCTGATTTTTTTTTTTTTCACTCCAGGGTCTATTTCTTCCTGTGATGCATTTCTCAATGTCTTCCAAAGTAAAGGTCTAAGACAGGAGGTCATTTGTCCCTGCGCCAGTTCACCGGAAGCTCTCACTGTGGCTATTCGAAGGTACTGTGTTACACCAGTGGAAGTAGACCCACTGTAGAATACATGTAGTAATTTGAAAAGAAATTAAAAATTTATTCAAGTATGAATCTGCTTACTTAATTTCTGAATGGCATTTTTAGTTCTCATTTTGTTTATGTCCAAAAAGACATACAAGAAGAATTTGTAAAGTAATAATTTAACTTTAGAGTGCTTTATAATATAGTTCCCATTTCTGTATTTTTTTCTAATTTTAAATGAAATAGACTGAAATGCAAAAGCTAATTCTGTAAAAAAAAGTGGAAAAATGCCACCATAAGCATAAAATTAATTAAAATATGGGAATTTAACTGGAATTGCTATCGAGGAAAATCATGCCGTAAAGTAGTCTGCTTAAAGAGAATTATGACATTCTGCAGGTTGTTTTTGGCTGACTCGCACTTTTTAACCATTCATAGACTCTCAGTAATCATCTGGAAATGCCCTTTGAGTCTGGGGGATTTGTGCCTAGAAATAAAATGGATAAATTCTAATAAAACTATTAAGCCTTATGTACATGAATGTCAGTATGCAGCAGTCACCTGTTAGGAGAGTTGTAGCACACAGTAAATGGCATAGCTGTTGTCTGTTTTGGCAGAGTTTTCCTAAGGCTGTACCTTGAACAGTAGGTACTTTGTTTTTAAGTTCAGATTTCTGCAGCCATTTATAATTGTTTCATATGTTAAAATGTACAGTATAAAACTGTAAAGCACTGTAATAGCATTAAGTAAAATACTTCCTGCCGCAAAGTTTAAAATACACTGTCCAACTGAAATTTAACTAGATTTTCAATTAGCTTTCCAACAAAACACCACAGGAAGAAAGACATGAGGCCAAGAGCGTGGTTGACTTTCAGCCACCTCATTATTAACTTAAAACATCTGAAAGCTATCCATTAGGGACTTATCCTGTCCAGGTTATTTGTCTTTCTGTGAACTACAGGATCTCAGAGAGCCCTTCATTCAGCTCCACCAGCCTGTTCTCAGCTTTATACCAAGGAGTACGTTGTTTTTCCCCTTGTGTTGGGTTTCCCTGCCATAGGCTCTGCAGACCTTCACTCCCTTGGAATGAGCTCTTGCTTGTAAGCGCAGAGAGGAGGTGGAAGAGCAGCGGACGTTGCTTGTGCTGAGCACTGATTAACGGGAGAGAGTTTTCATTTCCTGTGCTCGCCCTGGAAAATCTGCCCCAGATCGCAGGTTAGAAAGTGGGAGAACTCGCTGCATCCCAACGTACTGAGGCTGGTGTGCCCTTTCTAGACTTACTTGAACTCTATGCTCGCAGCCATCTGAAGCACTAGAGATTAAATTTCAAATGAACTAGCATTGAGAGCTTACATTAAAAAAAAATATTAGCACATAAAATAGTGGATAATTCAAAAAAAAAAGGCATTTTTATCTTCAGTGCCTCGCTGTGTAATTACAGAGCAGTTCTTACTATAGTGAATGTTGCTGAACACGTATCTCCTTTTTTTGAAGTCTGTTTAATGGTAGGATAATACCAGCTGAACTTGGGAGCTTTAGTATTTTTCATTTTATTCAGGCCATCTCCACTGACAGTAAAGTCATTATCATACAAGCTCCAAAGAGTTACAGCTGAAGTATGCATTAAAATGACTCCCCGCAGAGCACAGATCCAGAGAGCTCCTGGTTAATGCTCCAACTCTTTCAAAATCTGTGGTGTATTTTTACTGATCTTCCTACAAGGAAGAGTAACACAACCAGTTTTCAGTTGAAATACCCTCATAGTTTAGAAAAAGACAGTCACTAACAGACTAATAGCTACTTTAGCCTTAGAGCTGAATCAGGAAGCCTAATATTTAAAGGAATGTGTCATGCAAATAATTCTTTATGATATTCCCCTTTGCTTTATTGCATATGAGTCTGAACCCACTTGCTTAAGGGAGTGCAAAAGTTTAAGTACAGTTCTCTTCCCGTTTAAATGACTGGAGAAAAATAATGGTAAAATAGATTGTACCTGTAAATGGTAGTGGTAATGGTTCTCAAAGTTCTCTACAGCTACACAGTATGAACAAATCAGCTTTGAAGAAGATGCTCATTGTCCCTGTTTCACGGTTTGGGAAATTAAAGGGGTAGGTTTGTCTGGTGGTTTAAGCTAAATTTACTTAGGATATGAAGTCGGTGGAATTATACCTTTATTTAGTTGCTCCTACCTTAATCGAAGGATATTTCTTTGTCTAGGAAGCAGGATTCTAAATCCAGTATTAGAAATACTGAACGTGTAAAGAAAATTTAAAATGTGAACTTTAAAATAAATCATAAATACATTGGAAATGGGTTATTTATATCTCATCTTCTTTCCAAGTGATTTCTGTCCTGCTTGGCAGAGATACTTGTTTTAGGGATGTTCCCATGTAGATGTCGTGCACAGGACAAAATAAGATGCCATATATTGCAGGATTGTTGCTGACAAGATACTTTCTAAGAGGATGTGTAGGTGCTGTTAGGTGCTTAGCTCCCCACCTCACTTCTCCATCTGGGTCCTCTGACTGTATTCCCTTTCGGTGTCAGATAGCTAGTTGCCTGCATGAGGAGACTCGAGCATGGTTAACTGGTGTCTCATTCAAGGATCCCTCAGGCTACCAGGATACCAGAAGTACTTTGAAATAACAGTGCTGAAGTGCCCATCTTGCTAACAAGTGCACTTCTTGCTAACATGGGCAATGCTGGTATCTCAACCCAGGCCACAACAAGTGCTGACAAGTCCCCCAACATGAGCCAAGAGGCTTCATGCCTCCAGCTTCCCTCCCTTGCACCCCTGTCCCGTAGGCAGCTGTGCCCGCTCTTCTTTTTAGCAGCCTGATCCCAAGGATCTCTTCCAAGCTAGACAATTCTATGATTCTATGATAAGTAATGCAAGAAAGTGCATGTGCTGAAAGTCTAGCTGGCCAGTGCTCCAAGAAGGCTGTGAGAAGCTGTGTGTGCCTGCAGGAGACCTTTCTTCTCATGAGCAGTAAAATGTGTGTTTTGGGGAGCAAGGATGTGAGGAAGTTGATCAATAATGTCACTGAAAGTTCCTTTTACATGATGGGAATGTTATTTATCACAGCTGCTTGTTTACTAGCACCATTTGTTATGCTCTAATGCATTTTCAAGCGTGCCCACATCCTTCTTTGTTGACAATGTCACTTGAGAAATATGCCTCGTAAAACCTATTAATTGAAATTTATAGTGCCGATCACTGCAAGGCTTACGTGAGCATAATTGGCTAAGGCCCATCTAGTATTTCAAGCACAGTAGAGGAGAAATGTCATATAAAAGGACATTATCTGTTAAAAAATAGTTGTGTTATGATGGAGTATTTAGGAAAAATGCAGAATCTTGAACTAAGTATTGCCTGGTTTATTCATCTTGAAAATAGCTGGAGTCTGGCTGCTCTACATGGATGCATTATCCACACTCAAATCAGCATCACATTAACTTCCAGTTTTGCATTTTAAAATGCAGGACAGTATGAGAATCTGTCCAGACGTGAAAAGCCCTGACACATTCCCCGACTTAATAACTTGCATACGTCAACATTCATTTGCTCAAGCTACACTCTACATAGGTATGACTGCATCCACTGATACAACAGGCGGTTTTATATTGAAACAAGTTGACAGGCAGCTTGTGCTGATGCTGTGGAATTGTGCAGTGTGTCAGCAGTGAATCTGAGCAAACTGAGGCGTTACGTAGAGGCTGCATCCACAACATTTTGACCATGACTGATGAAGGTGTAATTTGTTTCAATTCTCATGTGGTAAATTAGAATAGGAAGAATTCAATTATATGCACTAAAATAAAGATGGTAAAGTCCTTGCAGCTTCCACAGGTACTTGGCACTGAATCTATTACAACCTGATTTCTTCTGTTCAGTAATTTTAAATGCTTAAGTATTGAGAGTGGGAAGTCATATCTGTGATTTAAACACAGCATACTTCTATTCTAATCTTGGCTTTGATACCAGTGTGTTAGAGTTAGGCTTTTAGCCTAGCAGGTGAGGTTGGCTTCCTAGTTCTAGGCTGCCTCAATATAGTTAACATATAGAGAGTTTATCTAGTTATTTACTGATCAGTTCCTAATTGGGAAGAGGGAGAGAGGGAGAGGGACTTTTTACAAGGGCATGTAGTGGTAGGATGAGGGGTTATGGCTTCAAACTGGAAGAGGGTAGATTTAGAATAGATATTAGGAAGAAATTTTTCACTATGAGGGTGGTAAGACACCGGAACAAGTTTCCCAGGGAAGTTGTGAATTCCCTCTCCCTGGAGGTGTTCAAGGCCAGGCTGGATGGGGCTTTGAGCAACCTGGTCTAGTGGGAGGTGTCCCTGCCCATGGCAGAGGGGTTGGAACTAGATGATCTTTAAGGTCCCTTCCAACCTAAACCATTCTATGATGATTCTATGATGATGATTCTAATATTTAGAGTGCAGTATCCTTCCACATCATCTGCACTGCCTTTCAGTGGTGCCCAGTGATAGGACAAGAGGTAATGGGCACAAGATTGAACATAGGAAGTTCCATTCTTAACATGAGGAGGAACTTCTTTACTTTGAGGGTAGTGGAGCACTGGAACAGGCTGCCCAGAGAGGCTGTGGAGTCTCCCACTCTGGAGACATTTAAAACCCAACTGGACACTGTCCTGTGCAACCTGCTGTAGGTGACCCTGCTCTGGCGGGGGGGTTGGACTACATGATCTCCAGAGGTCCCTTCCAACCCTGACCATTCTGTGATTCTGTGATTTTTAAAACACAGCAAAGGGTCTTTACTTGGGTAATCAAGCAATCTTTATAGATCTATCTAAAAATTAAATACAAGCTGTTTTGGGTAAATGTTAGGTGTTATTTTCATCTCTGCAGCCCCATATATGCGGGTGGCTACTGAATGGGAGAGTTGACAGACATAGTTACTCAGAAATGACTGAAAAACATGATCTGTCAGGTCTAGTAGGGGAGAAAGAAGGTGAAATCTTAAAATCTGAAATAGAGGAGGACTTGCAACAGTAGTCCATTAAGAATAAGTAAATGCTTACGTCTGCCTGCTGGTGAACTGATGTTATAACCCATGGTTGCAGGCCAACAGATGACAGCAATCAGCCACCAGGCAGAGGAGTTCTGTCCATGCATGGTCTCACTTATGGAGTGATTCGAGTGGACTCTGAAGAAAAACTTTCTGTTCTGACTGTCCAGGATGTTGGCTTAGTGATGCCAGGAGGTAAGGAACTCTCTTTGAAACTTACTATGATTCATCAGTTTAAGTAATTAGCTGTAGATAGTCATAGGTGGGCATACTGCACTGTTAGACAGCAAGCTTTGGGATTAGAACATGTGTACTTGAAAACATTTTAATCCAAAAGTATTGCTTTGTAAAACTTCATGGTTTGGAAATCCCAAGATTTCTTCTCTCTGTTTACTTCAGTGGATGTCTTTACTTGCATTAGTGATGTGCTTTAAACAACCTGTCACCACATCAGAACATCCATTCCTTAACTGTGAGATACTGGTACAGAAAATAAGGAAGTTGGATTCCAGTGTCTGGAGGCTATAAATATCCATAAGCCCGACCGAGATGAGACTCAGTAGTGAAAGTTTTCATAACCTATGCTAAGGATCAACAATATTGCTATCTGAAGCCTTGCAGAATGTTTTTCCAAAGATCTTGTGCTATCACACAGATATTAGAAAGAGAAGGTATGACTGAACAGTTCCTCCTGATAAATTCAAACTGAAACCAGTGCTTCTAAAGATGAAGATAAGATTTTTTCATGAGAGCTAGATTTTAAATGAAATGTTATAGAGACAAGAAAAGGATAATACTGTAGTTTTTCATAAAAGAACGTCTGTTATGCACCAAAGGAATAAAACATAATGATGCATCTTATAAAATTTCAGTTGAACAACTTAAAATCAAGGAAGATTGGTTGTTGTCTAATAGTTATTGTATCAGATACTATTATAGATGTGCCATCTTACGCTTCATACTACATTCTGATTGTTTTAATAAAAGTACACGCTCCCGTTTATCCTCAGAGTGAGAGAAAGGTCATTCAAGATTCTTTACATTTGTACTTAAAAGACATGCTGATTCATTCCTGGTCTCCTTTGTTTATCATATCCTCTTTCCAACTGCAAAATCTACACATGCTGGACTGCAACTCCAGAGATTATAGCTAAAGCAGCATACCTGTTTCTTACTCACATGGCTGACACGTAAAACAGTGCTGTTTCCTCAGACCAGTGCTTTCTAATCCCTCCCGTTCAGCTCCTGCTGTCTCTGCAGTCCTGTAAGACTGGTGAGAGGGAGTCTGAGCTCTGATAAATTCTTAGTAAAACAACGATACTAGTCTGCTAGAATATCTTGATCTTTCATACGGTGTTACTTGCTACTTTGTGAGAGGCGGATCTCCTGGTTGCTTGCCCCCCTATATATATATAATTATTATCAAGAACTCCATTAGGGTATTTCATTTTGCACTGACTGCGGCAAATCTGGTCTTCAGTATGCAAAACTGGGAGCACAGTCACATTTCGCAGCAATATTACAGATCAACTGAAATTTTAGAAAGCAAGGCAAGTTAGGTTTTGCTGTCAGTGTATAGACTGAGTTTACATAAAGATCTTTGCATTGTTTTTATAAATACTATTTATAATATAAATAAAATGTGATAATGTTGAACACCTTAATGTTTGAGAAACTGGTTGTAGAAGTTAGACTACATATAATTTATTTGTTTATTCCAACTCCACCATGATGCCTTTCCCACAACATTTATGTTATTCTGTAGTTCATTTTATAATTTTTTTAAAGTTCTTTGCTCTCCCTCTAGCTATAATGTGTTCAGTGAAGCCAGATGGAATTCCTCAGCTGTGTAAAACAGATGAAATAGGAGAACTTTGTGTATGTGCTATTGCAACGGGTACATCATATTATGGACTCTCGGGCATGACTAAAAATACTTTTGAGGTAAGCTTACCAAAAAATGCTATATAAAATACTCACTTTTTAACTTTTTCTATTTTGATATAATATTTGACATAAATATTTGATAGTAGTAATAATGAATGCTTGTGGATTGGGACCTGTAGTCTAGCCAGATAATCTGCACTGAAGCCCATTTCATTGAGTGCAGTAGTAGATCTTTATGTAGGTTTAGTTTTGGCTCTAAAGAGCTTTTACTTTAATTTTGAAAGAAGATACCAGGGGCTGAAACAATCAGAAGGAAAGCAGAAAGAAAGAGTTCAAAAGTTAACACTATACAAGTCTATGAGCTAGCTACATGCAGAATTTGATGGTTGCAAACAGTAGGAAGGCTGCTGAGTATCTTTAAAAAGCAGTTTCCAACATTTCCACAGCGCAGCCAGCATTAAAGGCTTGCATTTATACAGAATCCTGACAGAGGTAGTCTTCAAGAGGTATCTGAATAGCAAAGATACCTTTTCCTAATTAGTCCCCAGTTTGAATTGCCTTAGGTGAAAGCCTTTTTGCTTTGTGGAATCTGTTTTCCAGTAGGCTTCAGCTGCAGTGCAGACAGCTGTATTGATAGCTCTGTTGTACCTGCTCATTTGTTACCGTTAACTTCTGCTGAAGACAGTATGAAAGGCTGAAGAAATCAGAGAAATACTAAAAAAGTTGAGCTGAGATTTGTATTAAGTGCTGATCCTTTTCTCTTTTAATATTTGAGAAGAAAGTTAAGAAAAATACATTTACATTTCCCTTAACAAATGCTCTGATATTACCGTTTTTAATAGACCAAACATGACTAGTATCTCCTGCAAAATGCAGATCTGAATGCTGTAAACACTATACATTAAATAATTAATGGAGACTAGTGAATACAATTCTACATCCTGTTATTGAAGCCAGGAATCCTACTATGCTAGTGTGATCTGAAATTTGTTGATAGCTGATTACTGTGCTACAAGTACAATTGGCAATACTCAGTGTGAATCATAATCCTGGATTTCACGTATTTCAGGGTAGAAAGGTACTCATGTTCATTTTGTACTTGCTGTAATTGTAAAATCATTCATAATTCATAACTGAGTCTGCAGTTTAACAGCATATTTAGACTGATTTAGACTTATTCCTAATGCTAAGCAAATAAATTGGTAGTGAGTGAGCAGGACCATTCATTTTTAAAGTTAAACATGTTCTTAGAAGCCCTCTCCAAGTGGGCCTCTTTTCTGTTTTACTGTGTAATTCATGTTGCAGGTATTAGAGAATGAAAGAGTTTTGTGTTCCTGAAATGAATTATGGCTGAGGATGTATAAGCATTAAATCCATTCAATAAGAGTCACCCATGGGCATCTGGCAGCAGAATTTGACCTTTCTTTTTAGATGAGCTTTGAAGGACACTATATAGCCATGGTCTTCCAGTTGCCATCATCTTAAATAACTTGCCTTTAGACTATTTTAGTTTAAAGAAGCAACAGCAGGAAAGTGTGGTTGTGTCAGAATGCAGCTTAAAGTAGCTCATGTGCCAGAAGGATAATGCTGTGCTAGTTAGGATAGAAAAAATGATAGAAATCTATCCTGTGGAGTTTGTGTCTAGTATTCAGACATGTAGAGAGGCTCTGTATTGGGCTGTTTTTTCAATTTTAGGCATGCTACAGAAGGCATTATCGCTGATATTGTGGGGACTTAATTGACCTTAGATAAAAATGTGGTCAGCTGCAAAGTCATTAATGTATAGTACCTTAAAATAGCTTCACTTCTGGCCTGCTTATTTCTCTATACTGTGCTGCAAATGAGCATGAGGCACTGCAAAGAACCTCTACTGTAATGTTTACAATTCAATCTCTCTGTTACTTATACATAGCACCTCAGGTTAGCTGCACTCTGCAGAGCTTTTATTTTTTTAAATACTGTTTATCTTGATTTTTTTTTTTTTAAGGTCATAAATGATTTACAGAGCCATGGTTAGGGAAAATGTGTATGGAACTTGCTGGAACTCAGGTACAGAAAATTTCACACACTAGTCCAGGAGTTTCCTGACACTCCCTTTATGGTCAGTGAAGAGTAAAGAGCATCACCAGTGACCTATTTACTTCATTCCAGAAGAGCCATCTGAGAGAGCAGGCCTGAAATATTTTGCAGCATGATCTCTGTGTATAGAATTGAAGACCTGTATTTCTCTGTCTTACAGGTGTTTCCTATGACCAGTTCTGGTGGCCCTATCACTGAATATCCTTTTATAAGGACCGGACTACTGGGCTTTATAGGACCGGGTGGACTTGTCTTTGTTATCGGCAAAATGGATGGTTTGATGGTTGTCAGTGGAAGAAGACATAATGCTGATGACATTGTAGCAACAGCACTGGCCGTGGAACCAATGAAATTTGTCTACAGGGGAAGGTTTGATCCTTTCTTTTCTTACGTTATGTAGAAATCCTTATTTTACTTAGACCAGGTGTAAGTGACCCAAAATGCTTTCAGAAAGTGGTACCTAATGTGCACTGTGGTTTCCCTCCATTGCTGTGTTCATATTGCTAGAACCCCGAGACAGCAGAGGTGGTGTGATTTGGGCTGGGCTGGCCACTAAAGCGAACAACGGTGTTGAGACAGACTTTAGATACTAAGATCCGAAACTGTAATTATTAAAATTTCCTCGTGAACAGCTGGTTAATTCTGAAGGTGTTGACTCAACAGGATAGTTTCTGTCTGAGTTGAACATGTCCAATATGCCTAACACTGAAGTTCTTGAACATGACAGCGGCTCCTTGTGTGGCCTCCCTAATGTGCTGAAACAGAGCAGGAAACACGTAAAACTTCTGAAGAGCCTAATGCAGTAACATGCTCTCAGACTTGATCACATGGCAGACCTCTTATAAATGGTGTTGCAATTACTTTCTTCTAAGATGGGGCCAAAGAAGGTGCTTGTGCTGGCTGTTACATAACAGCCTAACAACAATCTTGGTGTGACCCAAATTCAGTGCTTTTCTTATCCCAAGAAGGTTTACTTCTCCAACCCTGCTGTGACGTTATGCCTGTATTTACATGATTCTAGAACAAAGCCCCCTATTTCTCCTCCAGGAATTATCCAAAACTGTTCTTCTTGCCATTACCCCATAAATAAAATACTAATTGATGCACCAGTTGTCTGAGTAATAAATAACAAAATCATAGTTATGGAGGATTAACTTAGAAGACAGGTTTTTCCATCTGTCCTGGCACTAAATACTCTTCTCTCCTTCTCTTCTATAGAATAGCAGTGTTTTCAGTGAGCGTGCTGCACGATGAAAGGATAGTTATTGTTGCTGAGCAAAGGCCAGATTCCACAGAGGAAGACAGTTTTCAATGGATGAGTAGAGTTCTTCAGGTAATGCTGTTTGTGTATGTTTGGAAGCTATTTGTCCTCCTTTATATTCTTTTTATTGATCTTTCAGGCCCCCGAGGTAACTGACATTTGTCTTTGAGTAATTGTAAGTCCACCTTCAGTTGCACTTGCACCTAATGAGCACAAAATTAGATTCTTCTGAGTGACAGTTCCTATCCGGGCTGCACATATCCAGAGAGTGATCCTTTTCCTAATCAAGGTGCTATAAGAAAACAGGGATGAATTGCAGTAAATAACAGCAAGGAGAGAGTAGCATATGGTTTATAAGGATATAATCGTTCATTACTTCAAAAGGGTAATGAATGAATGTGTTGTGTAGTCTTACTGTCAAAAAGCTACCTAAGTCTCTTACTAAACAGTTACTGGCACTGATATGGAGTTGACCGTGTCAAAAGTAGATACACATATGTGAGCTAGATCTCCAGTTATTTTTTTTTAATCAGTGGAAGAGAATTATGTGTTTCTAGTGCACCATGTTGATAGCTAAAAAAACCTGAATGAAACACAGCCTAAAAATGCCAATTTCTCTCCACTGAGATTAAAGGAAGTGATTGATTAGCTCAGATCTAGGTATCTACAGTGAGGTTATCTGCATAGAGGACACCTATTGCAAGGAATCCCATTCCAGCTGTCTGGTGGATCATGCAAGGCACGTACCACTGTGATGGAACCCACCTTGCTGGTGTTTTTCAACAGTTTAACCAGAAGATAGAAGCTACTAAATACTAAATAATTCTGATCATCTCCTTATATATAGCAGTCCAAGTTCAGGTAATGTCATTGCCATACTCAAAGGTTTTTCAACTCTTAACATCCACACACAAAAAATTAGATACTTTAGATAGCAGTCATCTTCCATCTCCTCCATCTCCATGGTTAAGCCAATTCTCACTCAAAAACAATAGGTTTAATGGAGATGTAGTCAAAGTAAGTCTGTTTGTTGCTACCTTGTGAAATGGTTTCAGCTCTGTCTACAGCTGGTCACCTGTTTCTTCCACTTCTCTTTCCTACCTTCCTTTCTGTCCTTCCTGAAGGACTCTTCTCACATAAATATATTGCAAACATCTTTTTTGCTTTACCCAAGAGCCAAAGAAAAAGATCCCACACAATTCAGAGAAGATGTTTTTATTCATTATTGCTTTGTCTGAATAAGAAAGGGAATCTGTCTACTGTATCCTTGAAGAAACTGAACAAATAAGTTTTCATTCATCTCAAGACAGGTTTATCTTCACTCTTGAGTTAAAAGATAGCTACATTTCATACAGCTAGAGGCATCTCATATTCACAGTAGATCTAAATTATTACTGAGAAAAGCTAGAACCTCTAGCTGGTCCATCACACAGAAAGCCTTTGAAGCACCTAGTAGCACCTAGGGCAACTATTGTAGGAAGAAAGGCTTTTTGATTGCCCATGCTTCAATAATTTTTATCAAGTAGCGAGCTTTTAAAGAAAAGGTTGAACCTCTGGACTTACACTTCCCCTGTTTTGTCAGCTGAGCGTTTTTGTGACTTTTACAGAAATCACGTGTTACACCATCATAGCCAGTAGAATTCAGTACTGAACACTGTGGGAGTCCTGTGTCAAGTTACTCCTGCCAAAAGTCAGTCCTGTTATTCTGACTATGATCAAGGCACAACAGTGTCTGAGCATGGTAGGCCATATATCAAAGTACACATATATGCGGCTGCTTTCATCACCCGTGTGCAACTCTGGCGTGCATCACTATGTGAACAAGAAGTTTCTGATTCCACTTCAGATGAGAGTGGAGATGGAGGACAGAATCCAGGAGCATGCGGGATGCTTTGTGCCTCCTTCCCAATCAGAGTTGTAATGACTGATGTCAGGAAGTGGTAACTGGTTGTATCTGAATCATCAGCTAGTGACGAGCAACATAACAACATCACACTTGTGTCATGAATCTCAATGACGTCCATGATAACAAACTCTACCAAATCGCTGCTCGTTTCTGATGATATTTGTGAGACTCGTCTGACACCCTGCGTGTGCTGCCCTGTGCCAGCCCGGCCCTACGCCGCCTGCTTCTGCTGTGCCTTGCTGTGTCTTTGCATCTCTTCCCTACAGTTAAGCTGCATTGATTTGCAGAACTACTTTCCAGTGGGTTGCACGTATTCTGAGTCTCCCTGACCCTTCCTGCTTCTCAGCAGAGCGCTGCAGGATGGTAGAGCTGCTGTACGTACAGGACTACGTTGGACTGCATCTGCGGGTTTTAGCAGAGGCATGGTTGGGAGGGAGTGGTCAGGCTGGGTATAGAGTTTCTTGAGAGTAGTGGAGGAGGACGGTATTTTAGTCACAGTGTGAGCGAAGATCCCAGGTCACCCAGCAGTTTAGTCAGATGGATCTTAGATACTCATTCATTTCCCAGGCTGCTGCAAACTGATCTGACCCTTCAGACAGAGTTGTGGTTCTTGTACCTGGCAGACTGGATGTTAGTTTTACCAGTGCCAGCACTCTGGCAGGACTTGACAGGACTAGGCAAAGCTAGGAGATCCACTGCGGAACTAGAGAGTGTCTGCCCAGAGAATTTTGTCAGTGAGATGTTTTCTTAGCTTGAACAATGTAGCAGTCTGGACTCTGTGTGAGTTCTGGTATCTCTAATCTGTTTTCTCAATGAAACAGAGGGATAAAGATTTCAGATACTCTTTTTACTTCTGGCTGGACAGAGTAATTTCAAAACCAAGCCATCTTGTCAAGGGGCATAAATGCCAGCAGTAGTAAAATTCACTGGTACTCTTCTCTCAGAATTTTAAGGCTCAGTTTGTCAGTGCTCATCCTTGTGAAACTAAGTCATTCACCGCTTCAGAAATGTGCCAAACTTGAAAGTGTGAAAGGTGACAATTTTGAATGACCCATGACATTTTATCAGACTTTGTGCTGCAGAGGTAGCTATCAAAGGAGACAGTTTGAAAGCCACTGGGGGACCATTATATATGACACCCCTCATCCCACCCCAGCTACGTATTGCTTTACATTCACTAGCTCTAGGAGCCACACTGTTTTTTGTTTGAATAAGAGTGGTTACTTGCCCTGTAACAGTTTTCCTTCAAGCTGATGTCAGGTGAGGATCCCATGATCTATTACTGCTTTTCAGAACCTACAAATAACATTACAATTAGGAGGTTTTGGTGGTTTTTGCCAGAAACATAAGACCTTGTGTGTTGGCTGTCATATATATCTCAGTATTGCTGGTCTTTCAGGTAAGGTGCCTGGAAACTAGCAGCGAGATCTTCGAATACTACCATGAGATCTACCACTACTAAAACTGCAATGTTTGTAAAATGAGTAACTGCTTTAGTATTCTTTCTTATGAAATTTTGTAATCAAATCAATAAAAAATGAAGCAAACAGAAGCAAAAAGCAAAGCATTACTTAGAGTCTCTGTAGAAGTAATCAGTAATTTACTGGTCTACACTTAAGTACATAACTATAAATGATTATTTGATTCTCAGAATATAGATTGTATCTTCAAGGCAGCAGACGTATGTGTTCACTTTTCTCAGAGTTAAAAATTAAAATGCAAGTTAAGTAAATTGTATTTTTGAACATTTACCTACTCATTAGAGATGCTGTCTGCAATTTGTTTTTCAGTCTGCATGGATGTCTGAAGTAATTTTTCTAACTCGCTGGATTTTTTGTTACCAATGTAAAGAAAATAACTAGTTAAAATGTGTATGGAATTAAAATCTATGTATGGTTATTCATAAATTACATAGATACTCTACGTTACAGATTTCTTGAAAGTGATGCAGTTTACTCCACTTGTCAGACAATGAACATGGTTACTGTAAGATTCAACAATGCTTATTTTTCAGGTTTTCATTCAACAGATTTTTTTCAAGTGAATAATTTTGTAGTTTTCCCTTATATTGTTGTCATTTCCCATTCCTGCCTGACAATTTTTTACACAGTAATCAGGGAGTGAAGCAGTTATTATCTTAGAAAAAAAATTAAAAATTCATAAGCTACATACATCAGTAGGTATATGGTGATGTACGTGCAACCTTTGAAATTTTTCTTTGCTCTGCAAGGTGGACTGGATGTTAAGTTGATAGGAATCCTTTGAACTTTAATTCTGAGAAGTGCGCAGGTTAAGATTAGTTTCACATGGGTTGTCAGCCCATCTTAGTAATAAATCTCCAGGATACGTGCTACTGACGTGTGCCTAAGAGGGATGCCTAGGTAGTATTTTTTTAATAGATTTCTGTGTATTTATCACCAGGTTTTTGTTTGCTTTTTTATCTTCTGGAATGAGTGTAATAACGTCAGTGTTACATTTCCGTCCACCTGTTCCCACTGAAAAGAACCTCCTTATCACTGACATTGCTGAAGTGCCTTTCCATTGCCAGTTAATTATTAGGGTTGTTTTATGCAGTAATTCAGAACAACATGTGCTTATTAGAATGATGAAAAATTAGCCTTTCATTAAAATCGACTTCCTGCTTTTTTTAGGCTATTGACAGTATTCATCAAGTGGGAGTCTACTGCTTAGCGCTCGTACCAGCAAACACACTTCCCAAGACGCCGCTGGGAGGAATACACCTGTCAGAAACCAAACAGCTCTTTTTGGAAGGATCACTGCATCCTTGTAATGTGCTGATGTGTCCCCACACATGTGTAACAAACCTGCCTAAACCAAGGCAAAAACAACCAGGTAAGATGAGTGAAGACAAAGCGACCATGACTTAATGCTGTGTGTTCATGGTACTATAGGGAGCAGAATCAAGTAACTGCTAATGCAGGTGAGAACCAGCTCGCTCAGCTGTTCCTGTTAAGTATTCCAGGTATGTTAAGGACATCGTTGGTTTTGGTAGAGGCACCTTCACAAAGAGTGCAAGGAAAAGTGCTCCAAAACCCGAAGTTCTGTAAAAATGAAGACATTTTTATCACTCTACAAGGCACTGTTGAGACCACATGAACTGAGACCAAAACAGAAAAAGATAAAATTTTAGCTTATTTGAAGGCTGAGTTTGTAAAGTAAAATAGCGAGGAAGAGGACTGTTGACACTAAATACCAGTGTTGGAAGAAGAGCAAATACTTAAAAACTGGCCATGAGTAAATAAAACACAAGAATGAGAATAAAGGTTTTTACCTGAGCAGGGTGGTTTTGGATTGTTCTTACAGCAGGTATATTTGAGGGAAAACCCTAACTAGTTTTAAGATGGTTCTTCAGAAGTTCTGCCACACTTTATGAAGAATATTGGACAAAATGGCACACCAAGGCACTGACTCAAGAGACCGAGAAAGCCCTGTAGCCTGCTGTAGTCCAGTCTCCGGTTACCCATGCCCCATCAACAAGAAAATTTTGGCAAATTTTTGACTTCAAATCCAATGCAGATTTTAGTACTCAGATTAATTTCGAGGATTTCTGGATCTGTAGCCTCAGGCTTAAGACCTGAATTGAGCTACATTAGACTAAGTGTTGGTTACTTTCCACTTTGAAAACCAGCTTGGAATATGAAGTGGTTTTACCCTCTGGATCTCAAATATGGGGACTATCCATCATGAATTCAGTGCAAGTTTGCCAAAACCAACAGCTTGTTTCTTTATTTAAAACTTTTTGACAAACATTTCAGAAATCAAAACCATAATCTCAGTTTGCAGATACCGGGAATGTCAGAGGTTAACAGCAACTTCCACTAACTTAACGAAAGCAATGAAGCCTTTGTTAAAGCCTTTGCCGTGCTCACTTCGATATTTCCTTGTTGCTGCTTCACAGAGTAATCACTGAATTAGGATCAGTGGACGTATTTATAGATATATTATGTGTACATTATATGTCACTATGGTAAAAGCAATGCCAGGAACACAGAAACCAAACTGGTAGCATCACATTCTCCCATTTTGCGTATTGTGACATACCCAGAGGACATCGCTTTCATCTTTTTAAAGCAGAGTAGTCTGTAGATGTTGTTTATTGTACATTATCTGGTTACTTAACCATCTCAGGTTTTGACACTTATACCACATACCATCACTGAGACAAAGCTTGGACATCATAGACTAGAAGGAAAGCTTGGTATCAGTTGCAGTTGATCAGCAATCCATGCTGGAGCACGAGCATAACATGAGCATAAATGGTATCTGCGAGACTGGTATTTTCCTCTAATAGCAGCAACAAAACATCAGTGAAATCCACCTCATGGAGAAGTGTCAGCTGTGACATCTTCCTTTCTTCTAAAGAATTATTTTTCTTCAGCCTCTACCTTGTGCTAAAGGGCTTGCATATATTTTATCATATGAACCATCTGCCTTCCTAATCCTTGTCACTTCGTGTCTATAGCATTACAGAATTGCTAATGCAGAAGCAACTTAGCCCAGGGAACAGAAGAGAGAAGTAATAGCGTTGTCCCTGAAGCCTGGATGCATCTCATCTGGTTTTAGGGACTTGAATGGACATGCCTAAATTAGGAGCTGAATTTTCCAAAGATTCCTCATATCAAGGCAGACAAGATGTGTCTTTGGCTATAGAGAGCCCATGCTAAATGGGTTCCTCAGTTAGATATATTTAGAGAGGATGAATCCTGGCCTACGTATCTTCCAGCTAATTCTGGTCCATCAACTAAAGTTTGTCTCAAGAGAGATGTGCTCAAGGTTTGGTGTTGTGGATATGTGAGCAAAATATCATGTAATACAAAATAAATAAATTGAATTTTCATCCACAAGCAAAGGATTTTTATTACACTTCACATATTTCTGCTTTATTCTAGAAATTGGCCCTGCCTCTGTGATGGTGGGGAACTTGGTCTCTGGAAAAAGAATTGCACAGGCCAGTGGTAGAGATTTGGGGCAAATAGAAGATAATGACCAAGCCAGAAAGGTAAGCTAAACTTTTCTGATATGGCTTATATTTAGCTAGTTAGCATCCATACACTTAGCAATACATAGATTGTATTATCGTTGTTGCAGAATTTATTGATGACTTTTTTAATTCACACTAAATATTTCAGAATCTCTTTTACAGAGAAATATAAAATAGACATGAGGGGGATCACTGCATTTCATTTGTATGAATTTCGTTCTATAAGTTTACATGGGACAACAGAACAAACATGGTAGATAGTGTTAATGGGGCTTCTACCAGAAATCACCCTCTATCTTTTTTACCAGTCCAAGTGGAGTCCAGGGAATATTGTTTGCATATATGGTCCTGACCTTATTTGCTGTTATTTTTATCCTGTAAAATTAAGTTGGAATTCAGCTATTTTGGGTTTATGTGGGTTATTAAATTAGTAAGTTCTAAGCTGTATAAATATTTATGTATAGAAAGAAAAAGAGAGGAAGCTAAATAATTAAAATTGTGCTTAAATCCAGAGAGATCAGTAAGAACTGTTTTATTGCTTTGAAAGTATATGTAGTAATGTGTCATAATCCCAGCAGTGGCTTCAGTTCCAGAAAGGCCGCTGCTACCATGCAAAAGCACCTTGCTGTAAATATGTGTGATGACAAGAGAATTAATTCATGTTTAGCGCTTCTGGGTATTGATGTAAAATGTAGCATATACATAAGAAAGACATAGCTAAACTAGCAAAAATAGTTATCATCTGGTTTTTAAAGATGAAAAGTTATTTAGTGTCATGACTATCACTCTGCTTTGTTTTAGTTCCTCTTCCTCTCAGAAGTGTTGCAGTGGAGAGCTCAGACCACTCCTGACCATGTGCTTTACACTCTGCTCAACTGCAGGGTAAGAAGCTCAGACCTTACTCTGACAGGCTGCGGTATGGAAAATGGCACTCTGGTATTTCAGCTGCACCTGCTTGTGCTATGGCTGAACGCGACCTTTCTGTTTCTTTTCCCATTAATACTCAGCTGTTGTATTTAATGTTCACTGAGGCAGAAAGGAAAAGAGAATAATCATTGCCAGTTGTCAAAATATAGATTGCTTTTGTATCAGACAGTGTGCCTTACACATTTCTCATTTCTTTTTCTACAACATATATGTTGTGGGTGAGCTGACACTGCAAATCTATTTCAATACTGATCATTCGTATACCGAAGAATAATATTTAATACTGCTCACCATCCTGATTTCAATTTTGAAAAGCAAAGGCTTGGCAAAATCAAAGCATTTTCCCTAAGTAAAACAATGATTGTTGGTTCTGAGACTTAACCATCTGGGGGAGGTGTGAGAATGGGGAAAGGAGGTGAAGACAAGACGAGGTATGTCCAGAATCCAAGGAGGTCTGCAGAGGATCACTAATAAATCTCTCTGCATAGCCTACATGAGGTGCCAGCCCGGCACAGCATTTCACTGCTTATCAAAAATGAATTAATGTGTGTCACGTGGTACAGAACTTGGCTTTACTAAGAGTCAGTGATTACAGACTTCCTAGATGATTGTAGATGACAAACTGATAATTCCCAAGGCCAGTGTACAGAATGAAACACTGTACCACCACGGTGCATCTAGGCACATCTGTCAAAACAGGGTGATTTAGGCAGTGTGTGAGGGTCTCTAGGAGAGGAGGGGCATGGAATATTGCTGTTCCTCTGGGCTATCTGGAGTAGCTGGTGTTGCCTCAGCACATGTGGTCCCTACACAACTGGATGGGTTCTTAAACCTCCAGTAATTTGTGAACCTCTGAGAAATGACCACTTACTGTATTTACAGGATATGCTTCCCCAGCCCATACTACAGTGCTGGCACCGAAATTCAGGTTGAGGCTACCAATAAGTCATTAAATGACCTTCTTTGAATTCAGATTAATAGCTCATATTCTGTCAACATGTGCAACTTGACCGATAATAGTGAAGTGTAAGGTAGTTATCTGTGGCAAAGTAGAAAACTTGAGAGCCAGTGATGTTTATAGATTCAGTTTTACACCATTGAAATAGTGCATTGTTCTGTCCTATAAGTTAGGAGCTGAGATGCTGTGAGAAAGAGACAGTGATAGGTACTGTCCCATCTCCTCCACACAGGCTGTTGCTTTTGAGCTTTAAATAAAGCCAGACTTCCCATGCTGGCAGAAGGGTTCAAACAGTGGGAGGGAAGGGCACAATGTGCAAAACAAGGATTAACAAAATAATTTATCGTTCCATGGAAGTGAAAAATAAGTGAATTTTGAAATTCAGTTTCTCCACTACTCTCAGTGTGGAGTATCTTATCACGTGAAATTTGTTCGAGAGACTTAATGCTTTATGGAAAGATTTAATGCTTTATGGAAAGAAGTGACAGGTTTGGTGGGTTTAGCTTAGGCAAGTTTTATTACCCATTTTGAATTTTAGTTCTGGTCTGTAACTTTTCCCTTTTTGTCTTCCGTGCACATTGTCTGTACACTTTGTTCTAAAACATCCAGGCATCGTGCAGTGGATGACTAATAGAAATCCACTGAGATTAGTGTTTTCCTGTAACCCAAGCTTTTTGAGAATTTGGAATATTTCAAAATTAGCGCAGTGCATTGTTTTTAGTGTGTGTCATGAAGGATTGCAACACCTTTACATTGCAGGACACCTCGTATAAAAGACCCAAAGGGAATAGTTGCCTGGTGC